AGGTCTATGACTTCAGTTCCTCTATATACAAACACAGCACATGTATCAGGTAGGGGCCGAGACATTTACACACAGCAATACTAGCCAAAGCGTGGCAGCATTCCAGCTCCACCGGCGAGCCATACACATTCGGCCTCTAGAAAGACCAGCACTTAATTGTGCGTTGCAGGCATAATATATGACCTGCTTGTCACAGAGCAGTAAGTTAAACACGCATCTCTGACGCTCGGCGCGTCCCTGGCTGTTTCAGCAGAGGAGCTGGTAAGAGCTGGGAACGTTTCAGAGTCAGTGGGATGACTTCTCGGGCGGTGTAGCCGACCCCAGCTCAGAGCATGGCTGACACATTCACATGTATTCCTTCCTTCACCAGCTAGTGCCTCACTCCCCTTGCCCCTCCGGGAAATCCTTCATAACTGGCAGCATGGCCTAGCAGATAGGGACTCAAGAGAGCCAAGTTCGATTCCTGGCCCTGCCGCTGGCCTACTGGGTGATCTTGGGTGAGTCACTTCAGCTCTGTGCCTCAGTTTCCCTTGGGGGACTGATGATACTGACCTCCTTTGTAAAGCACTTTGAGATCTATGGCTCAAAAGAGCTATATTATGAACTGATCTTCCCTCTCCTTTCTAACATATTTAGTCGAACAGAGAAATACTTGCCATTGTCGACATTTATTGCACCCTGAGCATCTGAGTTAGAACCCATTTAAATGAATGGGGCAATTGACACTTTAGAGCTATTGTTCCAGGCTCTCTGCAAACTCAGGCTGAATGGGCTTTGCCTACAGTAGGCAGTTTCACTGGCAAAGGTTTTGCCGGCACAGTGCCACAGACAAAGCTATTTTGGAAAAGCGCATTCACACTCTACTACTTGGCGCTTTATGTCCATGCAGCTCCTGGTATGTCAGCACCAAGCATAGTGCATTGTGAGGAGGCATCCCAGTGTCCCCCCGCCTTCAGACACACTGCCTTGTGGGAAATTGTTGCTGCGTACAGTGGGCCAACCGCTGTGTACAAGTATTATATTGTGGGGGCACCCAAGAGCGTCAGTCATGCCCTGTCGTGCAAGGTGCTGTACATAAAGAGAACACAATGGCCATTCTTGCCCCCAAAGAAAGAACAATATCATGGGAATACCTCTCTGAGAATGTGGAAATGTGGGCAAGCTTTCCCAGTAAACATTTTTAGAATAGAGCAGGTCGGAGTTTGAATCATTCACCCCACATGTCCCTCCCCTCTTCACACACACACACACTCTCTCTCTCTCTCTCTCTCCACCTAGCCCTTCTGCTCCAGGCTTTAGAAAGCACTAGTCAGTTGCCCAGTCCAGAGAGTAAAGTGGTTTGAATACATTTTTGGATACTTTTGGCAGGAAGATTTATTTATTTTATAGCCCCAGTGCTTTTTATGATCAATGAGAACGATTGTTGTTTTAAACAGGAGGAAATAAAAAAAGCTGCAAGCAAACAAGTGCAAAGAAAAAAAGGACGGAGCACATGACACCAGAGTGAAAGATTGAAAACGACAGATCTGCGAAGGCAGAGCTGCTGGCAGACGACAGTCGGGCGAGGGCTAGATTCACCTTAAAGAGAAAAGAACCACACGCAGCAAACGGCTTCTTTAATAAAAAAAAATACATACTAATAAAAGGTCAGCCTAGAGGTCTCCCAACATCACCTAAGCTCCGCTCAAACCAGCTGTTTAATAAAATACAGCGCTTTATTGATAGGTTTATGTAATTTTAAAAAAAGAAGAGAGAAATGCCAGGGAGAGAAAAGTATCAAATGCCATTTCTTAGGAAGCCGTAGGCTGATCCGTGCCATCTTAACTCTGATGGACTAATTATTTCTTATTTGAATGGCAGTGCACCAACCAAGACCAGCACCCCATTGTGCTGGGGGCTGTACAAGTAAACAGGACTTTCTCTACACACAGAAATGGCACTGATTTAATTCAATCAGTTTTTAAATCGAATAAGGGCTTGTCTACAGGGGGCCATCCAGGAAAATGAATCTGAATTAAGTAGAGGTGTGAATTTGAAGTGGATTATTTCAACCCTTGTGTGAGCACCCTCATTCAGAATTAAATGTCCTTAATTTGGTTTATTTTAATTCACTTTTGGAACCAAATGAAGGCCACTTGCTTTCGGAATAACAGCGTTCACACAAGGATTTAATGCAGTATAACTAATCCGCTTCAAAAGTCAGACGTGGGGGTCTCCTGTACAATTAAGGCCATGAAGAAATTTGCACTCTGTGTGCACCGTAGCTAGGTCCTAACCCCAGCTGGAGATGCAGCTGGATCAATGCAACAGAACCAGCTGTGCTGCCATCGTGCTGTAGTGTACACATAGCCCTACTTTCTTTGGATTAACTTTCCCCATGTAGACAAGCCCTAACTCGAGCTAAGAACACTCCTTTTGTCCAAGCTACCCAGCGTGGGAATTTCTTATTCTGGAGCTAACAGTGGCTAAAATGAATTGTACCAGTGCAAACAGCAGGGCAATGCATTGCACTGAAATAGTTTCCATTCAACTACACTGATTAAAGCTACACCAGCACCTAGCCAAGCACTTAGCTAAAGTCAGCTGGGCCTGGTTGTCATTTACACTGAAGCCCTGTCTACACTACAGGGACTACAGTGGCTTTACCCCTTGCATCAACCCCAACTTCCCAGCAGCAGCAAAGGGCCTTTAACTGGGTATGTAGTAATTTACACTCATTTTCAGGCTGATGCAAAGGGGCCAGAGTGTAAACGACCATCAGCCCTGGTTTTAATTCACACTTTTTGTTATTTCAGTGGACATTTGTGTGGAGGTTGGCTTTTAGCTAAGTCACTGCTATCGCCTTCTGTGGACTTTTTTAAACCAATTTATGGCAAGGGAGTCACACCAATTTAAATACATTAATTTAGAAACAGGGTTAGTTAGATTAGAGCAAATTCTGCACACAGGTTAAGCCCCAGCAAAAGACAGTGTGGCCTAGTGGATAAAGCACCAGGCTAGGACTCCAGAGACCTGGGTTCCTCTGTTGCCATCTGACCTTGGACATGTCCTGTCCTCATTCTCTGCCTCAGTTTTCCCACATGTAAAATGGAGCTAATGATACTGATGTTGATAAAGCACCGTACAAGAGCTTGGTGGTATTATTATTCCAAAGAGCTTGCAATGAAAACAGACAAAGCGTGGGAGTGGAAACAGATGCACAGAGATGTTCTTGGTCAATAGCAAAGCCAAGAGAATAAACCCTAGGTATTCTACATCCCAGGCTAGCACCCCGTCAACAACAAACACGAATTTAGGGACGCCAACGTCCAAATACCGATTTTCACACACACAAAAGTAATTGAACAGAGAGAAACAACTCAAGAAAAAAGAACAGGAGTACTTGTGGCACCTTAGAGACTAACAAATTAGTCTCTAAGGTGCCACAAGTACTCCTGTTCTTTTTGCAGATATAGACTAACAGGGCTGCTCCTCTGAAACTGAGGAAAAGAAAATCTGAAACTGTTTCAATATTTTTTTTAAAAAAGCAGCATTTCCTTCAACAGCGACCCGTTCTCTCTCCCCAGATTATTATTTTGGGAAGTGTTATGGTGAGGTCCAGACACTCGAGCTGAGATCACAGCTCCCTTGCGGATAACGGTAACTGACCTCTTTTGGGCTGTGAGATCTGCTAAGAAGTAGTGCTAGATGGGGATTAGGTATTGCTACTGTACTAGGTTACACACACACTTAAGATTACATTAACAGAGTCATGCCAATTTCTGTTCCCAACTGGCTACGCATTGTGCACGTTCTATTATTTTTGCTACCTTGCCCGACCTCACATATTGACACCCTGCTTATCACAGCCACCGGTTATGTCTTTAAGTCTCGATTCTCTGGGAGCAGGGACTTGTCATTTGCTATATGTTTTACACGGCACCTAGTACAATGGGATCCAGGTCTGATCGGCCTCTAGGCGCCACCACAATACAAATGTTCAGTAATAAAACTAAGAGACAGTCCCTGGCCCAAAAGCCTTATACTCTAAACAGACGGACATCAAAGGATGAGACAGAGAGCTATTATTATCCCATTGTATAGTTGAGGAAAATGAGGCATAGGGACAGTGAGGACCTGTGAACACTTAACTAGTACTGTATTGCTTTAATTATACATGGCCTACGAGGAAAGCTTGAAAGAAATGGGCATGTTTAGTGTCGAGAAGGGAAGACCGAGAAGGGACACGATAACAGCAAAACGTTGATAGAAAGAGGACAGTGATCAGTTGTTCCCCCACGTCCACCAAGAGTACGACAAGAAGGAAAACCAGCCCAATTTGCAGGGAGATTTAGGATATTAGGACAAACTTTCTCACTCTAAGGGGAACAGACGTCCAAAGGAGGTTGTGGAATCCCCATCATTGGCGGATTTTCAGAACACGCTGGACAAACGCCTGTCAGGGATGGTCTAGGGTTACTTGGTCCTGCCTCAGCGGAGGGGGCTGGGATGAGATGACCTCTCGAGGTCCCTTCCAGCTCCACAGTTCTCCGATTTTATTCCAGCACAATGAAAGCGGCAAAAAAAACCTCCGCTGTGGATGCAACCATAGCGGCATCGAAGTGCTTATATCAGGGTAGCTCACTGCAGTTGAAGCAAAATAAGCTCGCTCAGTATAACTCAATCATACGAGGGGCATAATTATTTCAGTAAAAAACAAATCACACCCCTCCCCCGCCCCCAAAAAACGTGTTCTATCGCTAAGACTTTAACGTCCAGACGAGGCTTTGCCCAAGGTCCTACAGGGTGGTGCAAACTCCCCTGCTTTTCACCTTGAGTTCTTATTTACACCAGTGCCAGGTGGGTGCTAATTTCTACCAGAGCAGAATGGTACCTTTTGTCACATCCACTTTGTGAGGCTTCAGTTCAACTTAACACTTAAACACGTGCTTAACTTTAAGCAGGGGAGTGCCCTTGACTAACTTCAATATCGCACGCTAACAGTGAAGCACGGACTTAACTGCTTTGCTGAATCAAGGCCTGAGGGGATGCACTGAACTCGGGCTTGCTGAGCATCCGCACGGCAGAGCCACGCGCCCTCCAGACCCGTCTAGCCGCAGCCACGTTGCAGTGATCCGGGTCTGACACTAGGATTTCAGGGGGTGTTTCGCAGGGTTCTTCGCGCCTCGCTGACTTGAGCCGTTCTAGGAGCTGGTTCGTGGCATATTGTGGGAGAACGCGTCTCTCCCTCCCGAGCCTACAGCTGTAGGGCAATGGAGAACCAGTAGTTAAAGTGATATATACCCCCCTTGGTGTGAATGCAGTTATACCAGGATAAAAGCGCTTATACTGGTATAGCTAAAGGGGAATAAGTATCCCAGTATAAAGGTAGCTTTATAACTGTACCACACTACTGGTTGTGCTGGTGTAACCATCAGAGGGGCGGCCGTGTTAGTCCGTATTCACAAAAACAACAAGGAGTCCGGTGGCACCTTAAAGACTAACAGATTTATTGGGGCGTAAGCTTTCGTGGGTAAAAAAAAAACACATTTCTTCAGATGCAACTATATCAGGGGGAGGAGAAATCACACCCCTAACTGACCTAGTTATTCTACTGCCAAATCTGTGTTTCAACCAGGCCTCAGGCCCCTTTGCGCAGCCAGAGACGGGTAAAGGGTCCTCAGTGTAAATGAGAATCAGGCATTCGAATGGGCGGTATAGCGCTCAACGATCACTTTCCAAACTGAGCAGCCCTCGGTAGGTGAGCTCCAGGTTCTGTTCCGCCAACAGTCGAAAGACCCAGCACTCATCTCCCATTAGCTTCCCAAAACCAAACCGGCAGGGAGAGTGGAGAAAGGGCCCTCTGTGAAATGTCAGCTCCGCACAGCCGGGAGAGCCAGGGGCAGTGGATGTTGAGGGTGGGGGGAGAGCGCGCAGGAGAAGTAAATGGACCAACTTGTGGCTGACCCTTCCCAACCATCACCCCCCCTTCCTGTCACACGTGAAGACAGGTACTTGGGGATTTGGCACTGGGAGAGAACAGACACCCAGAGTGCAGAAGGAAAGAGCCATGTCTATGTCTGTGTCTGTGCAAGAGACAGACAACATCCAAGCAAAGGGGCAAGCAGAGATCTACTGATGGCAAACAAGCATCTCAGATGCAACACATACGCCAAACAACACCCAGATCCGACAGCACCTCAGCAGGCCTCTGACACATAGAGTCCTTCTTAAACCCCCAACCTCACCACCACCACACACACACACACACACACTTCCCCCTGCGATATGTCTGCTGGCCTGCTGCCCCATTCAGGTCGTGGGACATGCCTCTGACTCCTGTCACCCTCAGCAACCCTGGCACCCTCCGAGACAAGCCTCAGCATCCCCTGGAGCTGCCAGGTGCCAGAAACCCACAAGCACACACCCATCATGTGGCGACTGCTGCCACCCCCCAGGCATGCACCCCCCCCCACACACACACACACACAACATCCCCCACCCCCTCTCGGGGGGGTGTCTCGGCTCCTCGCCATAGCACCTTATTCTAGCTTTTGTCAAATGGCAGAAATGCCTCGCCCCCGCCAACCTCCACCCCCCACACACAGACCAGCCTTCAGCAGCATTTCAACCAGAGAGGAACAAACAACCACAGCTGTCAGTCCCCATAACAGGCAGCCGTCCAAGTCACTGAAGCCCCAGGACTCTATTTACCATTGCCCTTCCTAAAAGCTGCTGTTGCCAATCAAATACCTCCCCCCCACCCCACTCGGTGCTCCATATACTAAGCCAGCCAGCCTCCCAAACACAGAGAGGCATGGCTCCAAGCTCCCCAAACATGGGGGGCCTGTTGCTCCCACCTCCCCAAGCACAGGGTGGGGGTGTTGCGCCAGTCCCCCTGTCCCATTCTGGTGGCTTTAGCTGTCGCCCATCACCCCAGCAAGGAGCAGCTGCTCAGGGCTCTGTCCCTCCCCATGACAGAGACACACACTTTGGCATTTAGTAGCTCTGGGACCCTCTCTCTATACTTACTCCACACTGCTGCTCCCGCCCCCCAACTACCAGACACCCTCCCTGCCCCACATAAGACACCTCTGCCCCCCACCCTCAGCTACCAAATACCCCCCTATGCTCCACCAGATACCCCCTGCCCCCCACCAGACACCTCTGCCCCCCCAGCTACAGACACCAGGCACCCCTGCCCCCCATCCTCAGCTACCAGACACCACCCTACGCTTCACCAGATACCCCCTGCCCCCCACCAGACACCTCTGCCCCCGCAGCTGCCAGACACCCCCTGCCCCCCACCAGACACCTCTGCCCCCGCAGCTGCCAGACACCCCCTGCCCCCCACCAGACTCCCACTGCTCCCCCAGCCCCCCTGCCCACTCACCCTCCTGGGGCAGATCCTCCTGGGGCAGATCCTCCTTCCCCTCTACACCATTTTGGTGACTGCTGCTAAATGGCAGGATCCAAAGTCGTCGTCGTCGTCGTCGCCCCCCCCCCCCCCGCCCGTAACCCTCGGCAACAACCTCAGCTGTCAGCTACACACACACACTTTCCCCCAAACAACGGGTGAACACCACAGATCTGGGACTCTCCCCCCCCCCCCCCCCCCGCTTCCCAGCTGCTGTCTCCCAGCCCCCCTCCCTCAGGCAGCCCTGCGGAGCTGTCAGCGCCTTGGCCCCTCACCGGTCCCCAGCGCTGATCCCCCCCCCCCCCGCCTTTGCAAACAGCCGCTGCTGTCAGGCAGACACAAGGGAGGCAACACCTCGCCGCCGCCTGTATTCCTCCCTTCACCTCTGCACCATTTTGGCGAAGGTTTGTTTTGAAATGTCAGAGGCGGCTGGAGGGTGCGCTCGCCACCCTCCCGCCCCGCAGCCCGAATCGATCCCGGTCTATGGATCCAGCACCCTGTACCACAGCCCGCCCCCCGCCGCCGCCCATCACCGTGGCACCCAGGCCAGGCCCGACCAGCTGTCCTGCTTTTCTAGGAACAGTCCCCACATTCGGGGCTGTGTCTTATACGGGCGCCTATTTCCCTCCCCAGTGTCTCTGTATTTCACACTTGCTCTCTGGTCACCCTACCCCCGGCTGTTGCCAAACGGTTTCCACCCAAGTCCCTCCCCACCCGGACTCCCAAGAGCGGTCAGTCCACCGCCACCCCTAGGCTACCCCCACTCCCCCCAGGACTCGACTTACCCTCCAGCGTCCGCTCCCGCGCCGCCTTCCCCCCAGAAAGTCGCTGCCAGGAGCCCGGGAACGGGGTGATGTGGGAGAAGAGGAGGCTTCAAAGAAGCAACAACAAACAACAACAAACAACAACACCGCCGCCGTCACACTTCAGAGGCGAGCCCAGGCAAGCAGGAGCAATCTCAGTGTCTCAATGAACTTCCTCCCTTTGGTTGCGTGTGTGTGTGTGTGTGTGTCGATTCCTTCCTTCCTCCTTTTTGGCGACAAAGGTAACTACTTCCAACCCACTGGGGGAAAGACACAACGTAACCACCAGCCAGCGCAGCCTAGCATGCCGGGACGGCCAGATGGCTCCCCACCCACCAATGGCCAAGCCCTACGCACGGCCTGGGGAGGGAGGGCTTAGCCACCCAGCTCCGGCTCCCCCCCCCCCTTGCACCCAAGCCACCTCCTCCCAAGCTAGGCTGCAGCGTGGCTTGCTGCAAATCCTTCCGCCCGGAGGACCAGCAGCAGCCTGGGTGGGTGATTTAGGAGCCTGATCTGTGCAGGGTTTAAAGGGCCCTGGCTTCCACTTGGCTGCTGTCTGGTCTCCATCACTCCATCCCCCTTTCCCAGCTCATCACTAGAGGTCAGGAGCACGCTCCTTCAGACCCAGCGTGCACCTCTGTTTTTTGCACACACACACACACACCCCCCCCCGAGGGGCGTCGTTCTCCAGCAAAATCCTCCAGGCGTGGCCAACTGCAAGCCCAGTTCTGGTCTGCGTCGGTTCTCGTGCCGCGACCCTCACCGTAGCATCTGAGCGCCTTCCAGCCATGCACTAAGTCACCGGTGCAGAGGGGCTGGAACAATGTGTATAGCGGGGGGGTGCTGAAAGCCATTGTACCAAACTGTAAACCCTATATATGATGGAAACCACTTCAAGCCAGGGGGTGCGGCAGCCCCCTTCCCTTTTTGACCCCCCCTAGTTCCAGCAGCACCCCTGCACCAACGGTGAAATTCAGAAGGCAGTGGGGTGTTTTTGGACATGCAGCGAGCAATGCGGCGTGATGTATCTCAGATAAAGAGCAGTGCGGCCTAGTAGTTAGAGAAGAGGGTGCTGGGAGTCAGGATTCCTGAGTTCTATTCTTGTTTCTGGGAGGCGGGTTTGATCTAGTGTTTAGAGGTAAGGCTTGGATGTCAGAACTCCTGGGTTTTTGTTCCTAGCTCTGAGAGGGCATGGGGCTGAGAACAAGGAACTGGGCCCTGAATTGCAATGAATGCCACTTTACACCAGCTAGAGATCTAACCCATTGACTTAAATTGAACTAAGGTGATGTATACACACAAGGAATCTGTCCCATTGATTTAAATGGAGCTACATCAGTTTAAACTAGCTCATGCTCGGGCCCAAAATGTTTAAAGCCAAAAATGTACTTTTCCCTTACATAATAATATAATAATAAGTAATAATACTTAGTGTTTTACAATTTCCAAGCACTGTACAAACATTCACTAGCACCCAACAACCCTTCAGTATGGGGAGGTGGCAGATTATCAGCATGTTAGAGGGGAAACAGAGGCACAGGGCAGGGAAGCAAGGTGCCACAAGTACTCCTTTTCTTTTAGATCAACTCAGTGGCAGAGGCATGATTAGAATTCTGGAGTTCTTGGCCCCTAGCCCCATCCCTCGGCATGAGTCATTACTAGTCTTAAAATTCACACTGAAAAATGTGTCTTGCTCTTTGCTCCTCTAATGTTTCAAGACTGAAAAAGGTGGTCCTGTGGCTAAGGCATCGGAATGGGACCCAGGAGTTCTGGATTTAGTTTCCGGCCCCCCACAGCCTCCCCAGGTGACCTCGGGCAAGTCACTTGATTCCAGTATGAAGCTCACAGCCTAACCCAAACTGTTGATTGCACTGGATCATTTCCCCTCTCTCCCCCGCCCCTCACCAATTTTGGGGCTTGTCTAGACTAAGAAAATCTGCATCAATTTAGTGACAAGGGTGCAAACAACTAGGGCCTGATCCTCATTTACACTAAGGCCCCTTTACACCTCTCTGCCAGAGTAAAAGGGCCATTAAAGGCAGTGCTAATTATACCTACATCCACTTTAAGGCCCTTTTCTACTGATAGGACAAGGAAAGGGGGCCTTAATGTCATGCCCATTAGTGTCTGTCAGGTGCTCAGACAGCAGGGGGAGGGAGGGTGGCCCCTATATAATTGAAATTAAAAGTTCCAATCACCCTATCAGGGAGCAGAAACAATACCATGTGGTTTAGGGGGCCAATCACACCACACAACTTGAAGCAAGTCGTTTGCTAAACAAGCCCATTGTCTGAAAATAGTTTGTTCAAAGTGTTGGGCCAATAATATCAAACACACCATAGGAAACGTGGGACGGGCTCTGGAAAGCTGGGCTAAGGGATAGTGCTACTGGCTCTACAAATCAGTTTGCTCGCTTTTAATATTGGTTGCACCCCAAGGCTCCAACCAACATAAGGTCTCTTCGTACTAGGTGCTGTATAAACACTTAGCAAGAGACAGTGCCTGTCCCAAAGAGCTTACACTATGCAAAAAGGTGAAATGACCCGCCCCGCCAGGTCACCCAGGATGCTATATACTGGACCAGACTGCCTCTCTGGTATAGGCATTAATAGAAATTCTATCCCATTCTATTCTAGCCCTTCACTCTCCAATTTGGCCACAGTGAGAATAAAACTAAGGATGTTAATTCTTTCTTTTTAAACTACAATCTGACTTTTACTAAGTCAATCAAATCCATATACCCAACTTCCAATACTAATATTTTTCTTGTGGTCCACAATTTCCTGGCCCAGCTCCAGCCCAGGTTAATTACATTCCATCTTCTTAAATTCATCCGGTATGTAGTTTCAATCTGGATTAATTATGCTGGGGTCACACTCCTTTAAAAAAAAAAAGGAAAAAAAGGTCTTCTGCAATTATTCAAGCTGCAGTATTCCACCCCCTGAAGTAGGGCCAGTTTAAGGCACAGACTATATAGACCCATGCCTGGAGCTCCTGTTCATGGCATCCCAGGAGAGCATCTCAGAATCTCAGCTTTCATTTAAATAAAGAATTTATGTTTATAGCCCTTGTGGTTGTGATGAAACACTTGGATATGTGGCCTGAATGTAACCAGCACAGTGATGTCTTGCCTGAGTCTGCAGAGAGCCTGAGACAATTGCTCTGAAAGCAGAGAGTTGCCCAGAGTGTAACCAATGCAACAGCCATTAAACCCAAGGGAGAAGCCGCTGGGCCCCTACACCCATTCTGAGCTTGACTGAGACCTTTACTAATCAGTTCCTGGAGAGTGGTCTGGGAGTGACAGGTTGGGAATGACTTCTCTGGGAAATTAGATAATCCTCTGGAATGCTACAAGCACCACACAGTTACCGCAACTGTTACGTAGCATCCCACTTCCTCTGTGATGTGGTCTGCAGACACGGCAGACACCTGCCTCCTTCTTAATGGAGGATCTGAAAGACCTGGTCCCCAGAGACAATAAGGCCCACTTAGGCCGCTCCGGCAGCACAGAGGGCCTTAAAGTGGGTGGGTATGGCCCCTGAGAATCCCCCCCTGCACAGGGATCCTCTCTAGCCAGCGTGGAGCTGGTATAAGGACCCTGTTTCCAGTCCCAAAATAAAGGTGGTGTAGCCAGAGCACACTGCATTATGGGAGCATGGGAAACACTGTGTAAATTAGAGCAGCCACCGGGCAGCTCCCACTTACATCAGGACCTGTGCAGAGCCCTACATGGCCTCAGAATCTGAGAAGCAAAAAAATGGCCTTAAAGCCACCTTCGTCCCTGCCCCAGCCACAGGAACGGAGCAAATGAGTATCAGGCCCATAGAATAATCAGGGGAAGCATGGAGTGGGGAAGACAACAGGCCGAGGACTGTATTTCTGCCAGCAGAAAGGAATTATGATCATTATTTATTATTTGTGTGGTGGTCACACCTAGTAGCTCCAGTTATGGGTCAGGACCCCACTCCATGGTGCTAGGGGCTGTACAGACACAGACCCAAAAGAATTCCAATGGAGTTAGCGGCTCAGCCATATGCAGACTCCAGTTAAGCCTCTTTGACACAAGCAATCAGCTTCTTCCAGTGCATAAGTTCCAGTGCCGGTGGGAGGATCCACAAAGCGAGTGACTCAGGCTGAGGAGGAATAGGGAAGTTTTACAATACATTTGGCGTAGGAGGAGGCTCCCAGTGCAAGGAAGGTAGGCGGCGAATTGCACAATGTGTGTGTGTGTGTGTGTGTGTGAGGGCGCACACACACATGCAGCATCAGAAGACTTTATGGCAGGGAGAGGAACATAAACACTGCATTTATACTAACGTGGAGCTAATAAAGGACGTTGTATGTTCCAGTATGGGGCAGGGAGATCTTCTGAGACAACCGCCTGTCATGCTGACCAATATGGTTTCACTGTTTCCTTGTTTCCTGTCAGTCTGTATCTGGCTGTTGTCTCTTGTCTGATCCTTAGACTGTAATCTCTTTGGGGCAAGGGCTGTCTTTCTGTTCTGGGTTGATACAGCGCCTAGTGCAGCAAGGTCTTGGTCCGTGACAAGAGCTCCACGGTGCTACTGACATACAAATAATAAATAAATGATGGTGAAAAACCCCCAGGGTCTCTGCCACTCTGACCTGGAGGGAAAGGCCTTGCAGACCCGAAATACGGCCATCAGTGCCTAGCACAATGGGATCCATTCTTCGCTGGCCCCTTGGCCCGACCACAATAAACAAGGCTAGTACTAATAGTTGTTCTGACGTCATGGTTCTGTCTTCACTCTGGAAGTGAAGTTAGTTGTTCTGTCTTCACTCTGGAATCGGGAGACCATCCACACACAGAACAAACACCCGGTCTTTGCTCCAAAGAGCTTCCAGTCCCAACGGAAAGTTGCGACACAAACTGAGCCGAGGGCAGGATCGGGGCCGAGAAGCGTTTGACTGACCTGTAAGGAACCCGTTTCATGCAAAGGCCTCTATCAATATTAGATTTTACTTTTGTGCAACAAAATGTATTTATACCTTATTATTTTTAGGAGACCTAAAATTTGGACCTGAGTTCAGTGATAAGGATCATTTAATTAACAACGCTGCCATCTTCCCTTTGTCTGCCATGGTTACAGTTTCATAGACTCATTGAGGCAGGAAGGGACCACTTAGAGCTCAGGAGACTCAACAATTGCGGTACCCCAGGCCGAGAACAGGGAGGATTATGGGGAACAATGCCAGTGGAATCGACGAAACAAGAAATGCCCAGCTGATCCCAGCAAATTTCATGTCAGATCCTTTCCATGTCATCTCAAGATGCATCTTTCTGGTGGACTTTTCTGTTTGGCTTTTGGGGCTGTTTGCGGTTGGGTTTGTTATTATTGTTATTATTGTTACTGGTCCTATTTTTAGCACCATATCAGTT